GATATTCATAGCCATGTCAGAGAAAGGAGTTACAAATAAAGAAGAGAGAGACTAGAATGAACCCACGTTGCTGGATCGAGCTTGCGTTTAACACACAGGTTGAGCAACCCTCATCTAAAAATCTAGAATGTTCCCAAATCCAAAACTTACTGAGCACCAACATGATACCACAAGTCAACGTACACAAACTTTGTTTCATGCACAAAATTATTTAAAATATTGCATAAAGTTACCTTCAGGCTACATGTATGTACAAGGTATAAATACATAAATAAATTTCATGATTGAACTTGGGTCTCATCCCCAAGATATCTCATTGCATATATACAAATAATCTGAAATCCAAGAAATCCAAAATCCAAAACACTTATGGTCTCAAGCATTTCAGATAAGGGATTCAACCTGTATATATAGACAGATAATTACAGAAATAAATACAGATGTGTTTATGCATGAGTTAGTATACGTACATATATTTCCTAAATCTAACTTCTGTGGGGGCAAGAAGCAGTGACACCCATTATGAATGAGCACACCTAGTACCCAAATTGTGGTTTCTATATATTATTCTCTTATACAAAGAGGAGCCAGAGCTCTGCAGAGAAATAGTGGATTCCAGGGCCTGGATGGAGAAAATACAAAATAAGCATGAAGCATCTTGTAATACCAGAATGCAAGAAAGTGTTTTAAACAGGGATGGGCCAGGCATGGTGGCTCACACCTGTAATCCCAGCACTTTGGGAGGCTGAGGCAGGTGGATCACGAGGTCAGGAGATCGAGACCATCTTTGCCAACATGGTGAAACCCCATCTCTATATAAAAAAAAAATAAGTAAATAAATAAAAATAAAAATAAAATAAAAAGGATGGAGACTAGGCATGGAGGCATGGTGACTCTCACCTGTAATCCCAGCTCTTTGGGAGGCTGAGACAGGTGGATCACGAGGTCAAGAGATCGAGACCATCCTGGCCAACATGGTGAAACCCTGCCTCTACTAAAAATACAAAAATTAGCTGGGCACGGTGGTGCGAGTCTGTAGTCCCAGCTACTCTGGAGGCTGAGGCAGGAGAATCACTTGAACCTGGGGGGCAGAGGTTTCAGTGAACTGAGATCATGCCACTGCACTGCAGCCTGGCAACAGGGTGAGACTCCATCTTTAAAAAAGGGGGGAGAGAGGATAGAGAGGTGGGGAACAGGGGTTTGAGCCTGTAATCTCAGCACTTTGGGAAGCCAAAGCAAGTGTATTGCTTGAGCCCAGGAGTTTTAGACCAGCTTGAGCAATATGACAAAACAGTGTCTTTACCAAAAAAAAAAAATTATCTGGGTGTGGTGGTGCACACCTGTTGCCCCATCTACTCTGAAGGCTGTGGTGGGAGGATTAGTTGAGCTCAGGAGATGGAGATTACAGTGAGTCAAGACTGCACCACTGACCTCTAGCATGAGCAACAGAGTGAGACCTTAACTCAAGAAAACAACAACAACAAAAGACAAAAAAATAGGAATGGAGAGATTAACTGGGTGGGCTGGTGCACGCCTGTAGTCCTAGCGACTTGTAGGAGGTTGAGGCAGGAGGATCGCTTGAGCCCAGGAGTTTGAGGCTGTATGATGGTGTCACTGCAATTCAGCCTGGGCAACACAGTGAAGTCCTGCCTCAAAAAAACAAAACAAAACAAAACGAAACAAAAGGATGGAGGATATTAAAAAGGCACTGGAGCCCATCCGAAAGAGCTCCCAGTGGCGAAAGTTTGAGCAACAAAACAAATAGTGATAATATTGGATCATAACTCACAGAACAAAGTAAACATTTGAGTCCACACTGATATAAACAAATCATTGAATACATAAGATGGGGAGAGGGCACAACTTTTTCTTACAGAGGAATTTCAATTAATAAATGTAGAAGGAATCTAATCGATCACCATTAGAAGCCCATAGTAATAGTTGCACCGATGGATGCTAAAATTAGTAGGAGAAAGTTGAAGCAAGAACAGAATATTTTCATAGTCTAAAATAATTCCCCCAAATATTTAGTAATTACAAAGGGGAAAATAGTAACTTTCCAGTGGAGAATCCTGTCTGATGCCACCTTAACCAGTGACCAGGGGGAACACCCCCGTAATAAGTCATGTTGACGTCATGTGCTCTCTGATAAGCTGTACTGAGAAGGGTGCCTCACCTCTGTGATGTCCTTCCCGCTAGCTTGTAGCCTCCACTTACTCATAAGGAAATCAGGCAAACCAAAGGTGTGGAACATTGTGTAAAATATCTGATCAGGGTCCCAGCCCAGTGGCTCACGTCTATAATTTCAGCACTTTGGGAGGCCAAGGCAGGTGTTCAAGACCAGCCTGGCCAACATGGTGAAACCCCATCTCTACTAAATATATAAAAAATAGCTGGGCATGGTGATGTATGTCTGTAATTTCAGCTACTCGGGAGGCTGAGGCAGGAGAATAGTTTGCACCTGGGAGGTGGAGGTTGCAGTGACCCAAGGTTGAGGCACTGCACTCCAGCCTGGGCAACAGAGCGAGACTCCATCTAAAAAAAAAGAATCTGACCAGGACTCCAAAAATGTCAACATCATGAAAGAGAAAGAAAGACAAAGCTTAGAGGAGCCTAAGGAGACCGGACTAATCAATGCTGTGTGGAATCCTCATTGGATCCTGGAACAGAGAAAGAGCATTCATGGAAAAGCATGTGACATCTGAGTCAATTCCATAGTTTAGTTAATAGTATTGTACTAGGACAGGCACGGTGGCTCACGCCTATAATCCCAGCACTTTGGGAGGCGGAGGTGGGCGGATCACCTGAGGTCAGGAGTTGGAGATCAGCCTAACCAACATGGAGAAACCCCATCTCTACTAAAAGTACAAAATTAGCCGGGCGTGGTGGCTAATGACTGTAATTCCAGCTACTCGGGAGGCTGAGGCAGGAGAATTGTTTGAACCCAGGAGGCAGAGGTTGCAGTGAGCTGAGATCACCTCATTGTGCTCCAGCCTGGGCAACAAGAGTGAAACTCCATCTCAAAAGAAAAAGAAAAAAGAAAAAAATAGTATTGTACCAAAATAACTTCTTAGCTTCTGTAACTGTGTATATAGTTTCCCAGTTTCTATAAATATAATTGTACTATTGACATGAGGAAAAATTGGGGGAAGAATATATGAGAACTCTCTGTTTTTGTAATACTCTGTAAGTCTAAAATTATCTCAAAATGAAGTTTTAGAAGTTCTAAAACAACACCAAACCAAAAAAATCTTATACAACTGACATGAAAAAGGGTGAATTTTATCATATGCAAACTATACCTCTAGACTTAGAAAATAATATATTTTCCTTACTATACTCTTTTGAAATCTATTCATCAGTTATACTAGATATATATGAATAGTTTTGAATGTGTTTAAATACTATGTTTGAAAATGTTGCTGGACAATGTGGCTCACACCTGTAATCCCAGCACTTTGGGAAGTTGACAAGGGAGGATCTCTTGAGCTCAGGAGTTCGAGACCAGCCTAGGCAACATAGTGAGACCTTGTCTCTACTAAAAATTTAAAAAATAATAATCAGCTGGGCATGGTGGTGCATGCACGTAGTCCCAGCTACTCGGGAGGCTAAGGTGGGAGGATCACTTGAGTCTGGGAGATCGAGGCTGCAGTGAGCCGTGATAGCACCACTGCATTCCATTTTGGGCAATACAGCAAGAATCTGTCTAAAAAAAAAAAAGAAAGAAAGAAAGAAGGAAAAGAAAAAAAAAATACATAATACATTCAAATAATACTGGTAGTTAACATAATCAATTAAATTTGGTAAACTGGCCATTTATTAAATTGATTTTCAGGAAATCAGCTGCCATCTAAGATGGGAACAGTTCCTTGCCCACCTGCAATTTCAAGCTCCTCTTTTAGTAAAGGAGGACACTGGGAAAGACAGCGGCCCCACAAATGGCGAGAGACATCTCTGAATGAAGATGGGAACAAACAATGATTTTCTAGAGAGTGATGGGCGAGGCTCGGATGAGGGTCAGAGAAGAGGGAAAAGATATGGGCATTCTCATTCAGGCCTGACCTCACCACAAGTGGACTGACTTTGTGCAGTGATATGGCTTGGCTGTGTTCCCATCCAAGTCTCAACTTGAATTGTAGCTCCCAGAATTACCAACCCCCACCCCCCCACCGTGTTGTGGGAGGGACACAGGGGAGGTAATTGAATTATCGGGGTGGTCATTCCCGAGCTATTCTCGTGATAGTGAGTAAGTCTCGAGATCTGGTGGGTTTGCCAGAGGGTTCTGATTTTGCTTCTTTCTCATTTTCTCTTGCCACCTCCCTGTAAGAAGTGCCTTTTTCCTCCCTCCATGATTCTGAGGCCTCCCCAGCCATGTGGAACTGCAAGTCCGATTAAATCTCTTTTTCTTCCCAGTCTCGAGTAACTCTTTATCAGCAGTGAAAACAGACTAATACATGCAGTAACTGAGAAAGCTTGCTGGGGTGAGGGCACTGCAGTAGGGGGAGCAAGGAGAGAGATCTGTGGGCTGGAGAGAAGCCAAGGAAGAGGATTTGGGGGTATGATTGAGAGAAGAGGCAGGTTTTAAGAGAGAGAGATTGGGTGTTTACGGCCCCCTCACGAGTGCTCCTCCCGTTCTGTTGGGGGACCTCCTCTTAGGTCCTTACCAAATGCCGTCTACTCTCTGACACCCAGCTCTCCTCTTGCCAAGCATCGTCCCCCAGGCAGGCCTGGCCTACGCCCTCCTTGGTCACCCTGACTTTACAGTGGCCACTTGTGGGAAGGAAGGCCGAGGCGCTCTGCGAGCACTGAGACATGAGACATCGGGTGGAGAATCGTTTCCAACAAGCCTCCGCATCAGAAAGAGGCGCAGTCATGCTGACAGGCTCAATCTACTGTGACTGCTGCACTCTGGGCTCTGGTCCAAAGCTGAGAGCCCCTTCCCCTCGCGACAGCCTCTTCTACCCTGCCCCGCCACTCCTGTGAGTGACAGGGGGTAATGGAGAAGCCGCTCCTCGCTGCAGGAGGGAAGACCCGGAGCCCGGCCTCCCTCGGTAGCGGCACATATAAACCCACAGCCGCTGTGCAGAAGGAGAAGGGCAGCGCAAAAGGCTGAGGAGGAGGGAGGAAAAGTGTCCTGGCGAGCACCGTGTGGATTCTCTGGGGATGAGAAGGCAGTTCCCAGCTACATCCCTCCTTCTACTGCCCCTGCTTCTCCAGATGTGTTCAGAACGGGCAGGGGAGTTAATTTTGGTGAGAAGGATGCAAAGGCTCCCAGGGCCTGGAGAGACGGAGTCACGGGCCCTGGAGAAGAAACCTCTTGGGACTCAGGCAGGCCCAATCCTGAGAGAAGGTACGGAATAGGTGAGTGAACCTTGGGAAGCTCCGGACACTGCTATTTTCCCTCAATCACCTGCTACAGGGAAGCAGGGAGTCCAGTGTCTTTCATATCCCCCCGCCCCCTTTATTTTTTGAGACGGAGTTTCATTCTTGTTGCCCAGGCTGAAGTGCAATGGCGTGATCTCGGCTAGCTGCAACCTCCACCTCCTTGGTTCAAATAGTTCTCCTAATTGAGCCTCACCAGTAGCTGGAATTACAGTCATGCGCCACCACACCCGGCTAATTTTGTGTTTTAGTAGAGACGGATTTCTCCATGTTGGTCAGGCTGTTCTTGAACTCCCGGCCTCAGGTGATCTGCCCGCCTCGGCCTCCCAAAGTGCTGGGATTACAGGTGTGAGCCACTGCGCCCATCCTATCCTGTCCCCTTTCAAGAAAATACTCTGCTTTTAATTGTGTACATTTTATTTAAGTTTCTTTGTTTCAACTTTACTTGAGAAAGGAAAGATTTGGCACTCCTGCAATCCAGCACTTTGGAGGCTGAGAAGGAGGGGGATCCTTTGAGCCCAGGAGTTTGAGACAAGCCTGGGCAACATAGTGAGACACCATCGCTGCAGAAAACAAAATCAGCCAGGCAAAGTGACCCATGCCTGTAGTCCTACCTACTCAGGAAGCTGAGGTGGGAGGATCACCTGAGGTCAAGACTGCAGTGAGCCGTGATTGCACTACTGAACTCCAGCCCGAGTCACAGAACAAGGCCCTGTCTCAAAAAAGAAAGAAAGAAAGAGAGAGAGAGAAAAAGAAAAAGAAAGAAAGAAAGACAAGACAAGACAGGACCAGGCTCAGTGGCTCACGCCTGTAATCCCAATACTTTGGGAGGCCCAGGTGGGTGGATCATCTGAGGTCTGGTGTTTGAGACTAGCCTGGCCAACATGGTGAAACCTGGTCTTTACTAAAAATACAAAAATTAACCAGGTGTGGTGGCACGCACCTGTAAATCCCAGCTACTTGGGAGTCTGAGGCAGGAGAATCACTTGAACCTGGGAGGTGGAGGTTGCAATAAGCAGAGATCACGCTATTGCACCCCAGCCTGGGCAACAGAGTGAGACTCCATCTGAAAAAAAAAAAATTAGAGGAAGGAAGGAAGGAAGACTTGAATTCCATTAGAAAAACGTGGAACATCAGCAGCAGGGAGAAAGAGAACTAGATTTGGACAGAGTCCCAAAAGTTCAAAATTTATGCCATGTAGGCTACATGTATTCCTAAGAATAAATACTTTCAGCCCTGAAGGCTGCCTGTGGCAATGAGGGCTGGAGGTGAAGGGGATTCATCCCTCCTTTGTATTTACACCCAACTCATTGTTGCTGTCAGTCCAACTAGATCATACCCACATCCCTCATGACTCCTCCCCTAAACCTGCCCCCATACCAGCTTGAATCTTCTGTCTCCAAGCCTACCACATTATCCCCAGATCTGACCCAGAAGTTGTCTCATTTTTTTGTTCTTTTTTGTTGTTATTTTTCCTTTTTTTTTTTTGAGATGGAGTTTCGCTCTTGTTACCCAGGCTGGAGTGCAATGGCGCGATCTCGGCTCACCGCAACCTCCTCCTCCTGGGTTCAGGCAATTCTCCTGCCTCAGCCTCCCAAGTAGCTGGGATTATAAGCGCGCGCCACCATGCCCAGCTAATTTTTTGTATTTTTAGTAGAGACGGGGTTTCACCATGTTGACCAGGATGGTCTCGATCTCTTGACTTTGTGATCCACCCGCCTCGGCCTCCCAAAGTGCTGGGATTACAGGCGTGAGCCACCACGCCCGGCCTATTTTTCCTTTTTGAGATTGAGTTTCACTCTTGTCATCCAGGCTGGCGTGCAGTGGCATAAACTCTGCTCACTGCAACCTCCGCCTCCCAGGTTCAAGCGATTCTCCTGTCTCAGCCTCCCGAGTAGCTGGAACTACATGCACCTGCAACCATGCCTGGCTAATTTTTGTGTTTTTAGTAGAGATGGGGTTTCACCATGTTGACCAGACTGGTCTTGAACTCCTGACCTCAGGTGATCCACCCACCTCGGCCTCCCAAAGTGCCAGGATTACAGGCATGAGCCACCACACCCAGCCAGCTGTCTTATTTTTAATCATACAACAAGCATGACCTGAGTGTAATCTCTAACATGAACCACAGCTTCAGCCTCACTGGTTTGCCAAAACCCCAGGCACCATTGGATGAGAGGAGACACCTATGAACATGGAGTCAGAATAACCCAAATTGCTGAAACACCAGCTCAGAGAGCAGTGAGCTGAAGAGAATCAGGTTTAGGGTCCCATGGAAAGAGACCAGACCTGGAAAGGACAGAGTCAAAGCTGCATGAGTAGGACTTCGAGGGCGTGGCTCAGCAAAGTTAATCCATATTGTAGTGCAAGAGGATTCTTTGTGGAATGTGTTTTACCGGAATTAAATGAAAAATGCCAAATGATCCCTAATTCAAACAAATCTAACCACATTACCTGGGGAGATGTGTCATTTGGATGTGAGGATAGTTATGAAAAATACTAAGCAGAGCAGATGAGGATAGGCCATGAACGATTCACTTCAATGAGGTTATTTTTTAGTAGGACTAAGCCAAAGCATTTCCACTAAGTACCCAGAGACCAGCCCTAAAGACTCAAGAACAAGAGAAAATTATATAACTGCAGATGGAAGGACCGCTAAGGACCACATCACTGCAGACCCAGGGACCACTGAGGACTCTGTCACTGCAGACCCATGGACCACCAAGGACTCTGTCACTGCAGACCCAGGGACCACCGAGGACCACATCACTGCAGACCCAGGGACCACCGAGGACCACGTCACTGCAGACCCATGGACCACCGAGGACTCCATCACTGCAGACCCAGGGACCACCGAGGACTCCATCATTGCAGACCCAGGGACCAGAGGACTCTGTCACTGCAGACCCATGAACCGCTGAGGACTCCGTCACTGCAGACCCATGGACCACCGAGGACCACGTCACTGCAGACCCAGGGACCATCGAGGACTCTGTCACTGCAGACCCAGGGACCACCGAGGACTCCGTCACTGAAGACTGAGGGACCACTGAGGACTCTGTCACTGCAGACCCGGGGACCACTGAGGACCACATCACTGCAGACCCGGGGACCACTGAGAACTCTGTCACTGCAGACCCGGGGACCACTGAGGACTCCGTCACTGCAGACCCAGGGACCACTGAGGACCACATCACTGCAGACCCGGGGACCACTGAGGACTCTGTCACTGCAGACCCAGGGACCACTGAGGACTCTGTCACTGCAGACCCAGGGACCACTGAGGAACACATCACTGCAGACCCGGGGACCACTGAGGACTCTGTCACTGCAGACCCAGGGACCACTGAGGACTCTGTCACTGCAGACCCAGGGACCACTGAGGACTCCGTCACTGCAGACCCAGGGACCACTGAGGACCACATCACTGCAGACCCGGGGACCACTGAGGACTCTGTCATTGCAGACCCGGGGACCACTGAGGACTCTGTCACTGCAGACCCAGGGACCACTGAGGAACACATCACTGCAGACCCAGGGACCACTGAGGACTCTGTCACTGCAGACCCGGGGACCACCAAGAATTCCATCAGTGCAGACTCAGGGACCACTGAGAACTACGTCACTGCAGGCTCTTGGACCACAGAAGATGAAACCACTAAACACGGTGACACTCACCTTCTGTGAACTACTTGAGTCACAGCAGTGAAACCTACCAGGCTCCTGACACCCATGGAAATTATCTCCATATCCCTGGCTGCAGCCACAGTCATGTTGCACTCTTTGTTGGACTGGGCTTCATTGTGGTGAGTATTTAGTCTGGGAATATTCAGGGCATCATGGGAACGAGGCCATGTGAGGATGAGGGGTGGGCATGGAGAGCTGAGGTACAGGGGTCCAAGAAATGGTCAGGCGTGAGGAAGCGTACATTGAGAGAGCTCTGCAAAGACTCCCAGAAAGACAGAGATGGAAAGAAAGGAAAAGAGCACCTGGCACAAAAGATGCAGAAAGCACTGGGGAGAGAGAAAGCTGTGAGACACAGAGGGAGGAGAGAAAGAAAAGAGAGGCTGAGCATGAGAAAGCAGACAGAGAGAAACATAAAAACACGAACATGGCAGGTCACAGTGGGAGTCAGAGCAAAGCATGAACCATTAGGTAGAGATGAATATAAAAAAGAAAATTTTCCTAAGAAGACAAGGAACTGGGCACCAGAGGAGTGGATGAATTAGAAACGTTCTGGACGGTCCACGCAGATCAGAAATTACATATTCTCGTGCTAATTATACCCACTCTGGAGTTCTGCAGAAGATTTTTTTAAACCAAAATTGTGTGGGTTTTTATGAGCACCACTACTCTATACTGAAGAGAGAGACAGTTTGTACCAGCTCCAAGAGGAGCTCTGAGTATTTTTCTGTCTCTGAGGGTCCCTGTTATTTCTACAAGAGGAGACAAAAGAATTCCCTGCCAACCCTGTATGTTTCATCTCGTGGGTGGAATCATCCCAAAAGCAGCAGCAGGGGAATTCCCACAGGGAGTGGCCCAAACCCTCCAGAGATGGGGCCAATTGAGATTCCAAAGAAAGAAGCCCAGATGTCAGGGTGATCAGTTCAAAGCATTTGTTACGGGAATTGCAGCAATCCTCCCCGCAGACAGTGAGGGGAAAGGGATGTTCTGTCTAGGTATGTCTGTAGCAAGGGGGTCAGGGTGTGGAGTTTATATGTGGGTTTAGGGAATTTGACTCAGGCCTGAGCCAGTTTCTTTCAATGTCTTGGGCAACAACCAAGATACCTTTATTAGTGCCTGGGAGTGTTCAAGGCCCTGGTTTGAGTTCAAGCCTGCTGGAGGAAACCTGCCGCTGGCCAGGGCACAGAATGGTCAAGGCGATCTGCGATTTTAGGTCAGGACTCAGAAAGGAAAGGAGGTGATCTGGGGAACCCCACATTGTGGCTGCCTCTCACTGACACTTGATCTAAAACCCAAGCCTTCCCCTTCTGGCCGGCTGCTTGACGGGGAAGGGCTGGTCGTTTTGGCCATCCTGACCTAAGGGTTAAGTGCATGTCGAAATTTTAACAAGTGGTGGCTTGCAGGATTAGCCAGCTCCGGCAGATCATGAAAGCCTCGTTAATTCTTGCCGGTCACTGATGCCATTGTGCACTGACCCCTGCCCCAAGAGAAGGATCCACAGCTTTGGATCACTTTGTAAGTGTGAGTAAAGCTGAAAGTAATGCATGATACAGTTGAGGTGTTCACAATTAACTCTGCTAAAATGACACCATGAAACTAGAGCATTCTGAAGGATGCCGACAACAGGAAAATGGAATGAAATTGTCTATATGTACCTGACTCACGCGTGAGTCATATTCAGTATTCACCAGTAGAGGGAGGACCTTCTGGACTTCGCTGCTGTCATAAACAATTGGATTTCTGATCATGTGGCTCACCATGAAAAGTCAGACTCTCTTGTTCTAGATTGAAGGATGCTTTCCTTCCTCCAAACTAGGCATTGGCCCAGAGAAGTCACTAGCGTTAGCACCTTCTTAATTTCGTGTAGAGACTAAAAACAAGAGATGGCTCTGCTGGGCGCCGTGGCTCACGCCTGTAATCCCAGCGCTTTGGGAGGCCGAGGCAGGCAGATCATGAGGTCAGGAGTTCGAAACCAGCCTGGTCAACATGGTGAAACCCTGTCTCTACTAAAAATACAAAACTTAGCCAGGAATGGTGACACGCACCTGTAATCCTAGCTACTCAGAAAGCTGAGGCAGGAGAATCGCTTGAACCCAGGAGGCGGAGGTTTCAGTGAGCCAAGATCGTACCACTGCACTATAGCCTGGGTGACAGAGTGAAACTTCATCTAAAGAAAAAAAGAGAGAGAGATGATTCAAAAGGCGTAGGATGTGGGAAGTAAGAGGAAAGTCTTTGCTCCCAAACTTGCTAAATTTTTTACTTTTAACCCAAAGAGTTTTAAAAATAAGAATTATATTACCATTCTCCCTAAGTTCCACTTATCAAAATGCTTTTTTCTTTAAATCTTAATGGTTTAAGGGTTTTTATTGTTTTGTTTTTATAGGCTTTTTCTCCCCGCTAAATGTTATGGACATTTTTGGAAGTATTGATGTCTAGTAGTCAGTGTCAGGATCTGAAGAAAACAGTGACCTCTAGAGGACTCACAGAGCCAGGGAAACGGGCTGGGCAGAAGTGATAGATTACAAACCACCAGGGTTAAGAGAGGAACAGAGTCTTAAAACCAAACCATTTTCTTCCTCCCTAGGCAGAGTGTTTCCTGGCTCTGTTAAATCCATCCACCAAGGTTATTTATCATCCCCATGGCATGGACTAGAGTGCACCATGAAGAGGACCCCAGCAGTGACTACGGTGGGCTCTAGAAAAAGCAGACCCCGTCCGCCTCTGCAGGACCATGCAGTGTGGTATGTGTCCTCAGGCCTGCACTCCTCTGCCCCGGTCAGGAGCCCTGGGAATAAACACCATCACATGAGGAAGGCAGCTGGCCTCTGGAATAATTACATGGAGGACACCCAGAAGGATGCCTATCCGCTCTGAGCATCTCCGAGCTCCGAGTTCTGCCTCACCTCGGTTACTTCCTCTGGACAATCATCTTTACCTATCTGCCAGGTTTCGAGGAATTACACACAGCTCAGATATAAAACATATTCATTAAGTCCTTTTGATCAAATCAAAAAGGAAATTTTGTGTTTCTGTCTGGGTTGTATCTCTACATTCATATATATATATATATATATATATATATATATATATATATATATATACATTTTAGATGGAGTTTTCTTTCACCCAGGCTGGAGTGAAGTAGTGTGATCTCAGCTCACTGCAACCTCTGCCCGCTGTGTTCAAGCGATTCTCCTGCCTCAGCCTCCTGAGTAACTAGGATTCTAATTTTTGTAGTTTTGGTAGAGATGGGGTTTCACCATGTTGGCCAGGCTGGTCCCGAACTCTTGACCTCAGGTGACCCACCCGCCTCTGTCTCCCAAAGTGCTAAGATTACAGACGTGAACCACCACACCCAGACTTAACAAAATATTTATTAATTGCCTAGCTTGGGGTCAACACTCTATGTCGAAGTCTGTCTATCTCAGTCTACCTGTGAGCTGAAGGATAAAACTTATCTCTTAAGAGGACTATACCCGCGTCCCCCCACCACCCAGGTCAAAGGGTCACATTTACAGGATGTTGTTAACTGGTCATTCAGCAAGTATGTATGAGCACCTTGCAGGACTGGCCCTGCCACCATAGCAAATAAATGAGTCTCATCCCAATCGCGGTGTGAAATGAGGACATGAAGTCCTGCCCTGACCTCTGACTAAGAGAAAAGCCCTGCCTGATAGAAGGAGGGACTTGTCCTTCCTTACTGTGAATGCACCATATTCATGCACCTATGGATGATGGCTAAGACCACAGACAAGGCCGGGCATTGGATATAACAGCTCTGTGACGAGTTCAGGACAAAAAGCAAAAGATCAAAGATATTTGAAGACAATTATTACTACTGATGCCACTACAAGCAGCATCACCATCACTGTTAAATAATGGAATTGTAGTATTATGATACAGAGTCAGAAACGCAGAATAATAAATTAAAATATTTCAATCCAGTTTGTCTGTTTCCAAAATGTATACAGCATCTGTTAATCATCCAGGCATTGCAGCTACAAGTTGGATAAGATTCAAACTGTTTACCGGATAGTTCTCAAGTCAGACAGTTAATACTGATCATTTTTATATGATATGACAAGTGACACGATTGGCCCATAAGTGCAGGGGACACCTAGAAACTAAAAGGACTCAGAGCTTCATCATCATGTAGCTGGCTATCTGTAGAGTAAGTCCTAAATTCTCAGAACCTCCTTTTCAATTTTTCAAGTGAAAAGTTGAATTGATTAATTAATATTAAACTAATACTTCTAAGAATTATGTGATAAACTCCTTTAAAGGAAAAGTTTGTTTGTTTGTTTGTTTTGAGACAGAGTCTCACTCTGTTGCCCAGGTTGGAGTGCAGTGGTGTGATCTCAGCTCACTGCAACCTCTGCCTCCTGGGTTCAAGTGATTCTCATGCCTTGGCCTCTGAGTAGCTGAGATTACAGGCACCTGCCACCATGCTCAGCTAATTTTTGTATTTTTAGTAGAGATGAGGTTTCACCATGTTGCCCAGGCTGGTCTTGAACTCCTGACCTCAGATGATCCACCCACCTTGGCCTCCCAAAATGCTGGGATTACAGGTGTGGGCCACTGTGCCTGGCCAGAAAAGAGATTTTTTTGAGAACTCATCATGTTGGCTTAAACTATTTATATTAAATTATGTAAATATATATGAAACAGAAAATAAAACTCCTTATGCTTATAACTCTACTGTTCCAATTACAGCAGTAGTTAATGTAATGCGTGATATTCCTTTACTGAAGAATTCTTTGCTCCAGCGTTAATATGGCACTGATTGCTACAGCCTAGTTTCACAATCTCCTTTGTGATGCTTTCCTTCTTTAATGGATCTTCTGTGTACAAGCTTTCTCAGACCTTCAGTCTCTCAGTCAGCTGTGGGATTATTGGGTCTTTACTTAATGCAAATGGATGATTTAAATTTTACGGCAGTTCTCATTCTACTCTTGTTAGGTTGTGAGAGTTCTGAAGACTAATCATTTCCTCTTTTTTTTCCTTTGTTTTTCACAGGACGTTGATGAAAGAGACTAATCATTTCTATTAGCTTTATGTTGGTTTTATATTAGTCATCAGTAGAATCCAGGAAATGCTTATATTATGGGTATTTTCAAGATTATCACCTGAAGGAAAATGTGACAGAAAGAGCTCCAGTCTTCCCTTCCCTCATACTTGGAGAACCTGAGTTTTGGGGGTGATGGTAACATGCCCAGCTAAAAACAATTTCCCAAATACCCCATTTCCTGGTCTCCCTTGCAGCCAGTGCGGTGAGGAAATACAGTTCTAGCCTATGTGATATAAGCGTCAATCCCTGGGCATGGTGTCCCTTCCAGATGAAAAGGCAGAAGCTCACGGGGAGAAAGCCCTTTGCCCCTTCTCCCTTGGTTCCTCTTCCTGCCTGGAGTGCAGATATGAGACCTGGGGTGCAGCAAGCCATGCTGAGGCCAGGAGGAGATCCACAGCAGGGTGAGGGCTTCAGGCCGGGAGTGGAGCAGAGGGAAGAAATCACTTGGGTGCCCGATGACATTACTGAGCCCTAGACTGCTCCTCCCAGACACTTCGTATATGAGACGAGCAGTGTGCCGCAGCTCGGTGAGGAGAGCTTCCTGTGATTCCAGCTGAATGGGATCCTAACTGATATGACACATAAACATCGTCTAGAACATGCAGACTTCTGTGAATACATCCAGAGACACATTTGGGAAAACACAGTGCTCAGGGTTTTAAGAATTGGGAGCTTCGACGGGTGTGGTGGCTCATGCCTGTAATTCCAGCACTTTGGGAGGCCAAGGTGGGCAGATCACCTAAGGTTGGGAGTTCAAGACCAGCCTGACCAACATGGAGAAACCCCGTCTCTACTAAAAATACAAAATTAGCCTGTAATCCAATACTCAGGAGGCTGAGGCAGGAGAATTGCTTGAACCTGGGAGGCAGAGGTTGGGGTGAGCCAAGATTGAGCCATTGCACTCCAGCCTGGCAACAAGAGTGAAATTCCATCTCAAAAAAAAAAAAAAAAAAAAAAGAGTATGGGAATATGGGAGCTACACATAGTGCAGAGTAGAAGAATGACAAAATGATCTCCCTTTTCTGCCCCTATGGAGGCAGCAAGTGGCCAAGGAAGAATTTTGTGATTAGAAATACTGGCATTAATATCAGTTTATTACAGGGAAAAAGACTGACAGAAGAGTCTCTTAGTTCATACACAGGCAGGAAAAGTCCAATTGTCTCTATAAAATCCTCCAGCCAGGCACAGTGGCTCATGCCTGTAATTCCAGCACTTTGGGAGGCCTAGGCAGACGGATCACCTGAGGAGATGGATCAGGAGTTCAAAACCAGCCTGACTAACATGGTGAAACCCTGTCTCTACCAAAAATACAAAAATTAGCCAGGCATAGTGGTGGGTGCCTGGAATCCCAGTTATTCAGGAGGCTGAGGCAGGAGAATCACTTAAACCCGGGAGGCGGAGGATGCAGTGAGCCGAGATCCCACCATTGCACTCCAGCCTGAGCAACAGAGTGAGACTCCGTCTCAAAAACAAAATAAATAAATCCTCCTCCTGCAGTTCAGGCTGGGGTTTGGGGATGGGCATTCATCAAAGGGCATTGGCAAGCACAAGGAATTCCAGAGTCTGCCTTGGTCTTCAAGGGGGCGTAACTTTTGGTCTCACTACATGCTAGGTTTGTGCAATAAACAAAGGAATTGCTAGAGCTACAAATTCTAGCTGAGAAGTCTGTGTACTTGAGTTTCTGCACCTCAAGGACAACTTTGAGCAATTGAAGAGACCATGAAATCTCTGTAAAGAGCATAGCTCCTGTAACTCTTAACCTAGAAACTTCAGCATGCAAAAGCATGCATGCAAAAATGCTAGTATATCAAAAGCTTTGCTTTTATTTCAATCAAGTTAATTTCTGGCCAGGCAGGGTGACACATCTGTAATCCCAGCACTTTGGCAGACCGAGGTGGGAGGATCTACACCAGCCTTGGCAACATAGTGAGACTTTGTCTCTACTAAAAATAAAAAAAGTTAGCTGAATGTGGTGGCGCATGCCTGTAGTTTCAGATACTTGGGATGCTGAGGCAAGAGGCTCGCTTGAGCCCAGGAGGTGGAGGCTGCAGTGAGCAAAGATTATGCCACTGTACTCCAGCCTGGGTGACAGAGAAAGATCCTGTCTCAGACAAAAAAAAAAAAAAAAAAAAAAGGAAAAGAGGCTGGACGCAGTGGCTCACACCTGTAATTCCAACACTTTGGGAGGCTGAGGCAGGAGGATTGCTCGAGGCCTGGTGGTCAAGAACCATCTGGGGAACATAGTAAGATCTCATCTCTACAAAAAAAACAAAAAATAAGCTGGGCATGGTAGTGTATGTCTGTAGTCCCAGCTACTTGGGAGGCTGAGGTGAGCGGATTGCTTGAGCCCAGGAGGTCGAGGTTGCAGTGAGCTGTGATCACACCACTGCCCTCCTCCTGTCTCAAAAAGAAAAATAAAAGAGAGAACATGTTAATTTCTGCTCCTGTCAGTTTAGAGGCAAATTCAATCTCAGTCTTGTTTGCTGTTTCCCAAAGATCCCAGAGATGTACATAGGATGGAGGCATAAGGGACATCCTTAAAGTCAATAGCAACCGGCCTGTACTAATTGTTCCCAAGACACCCACGTCCCTTTGTGGCAGCAGTTCCGCCAGAGGCACAGGGGCTTTGCCGAGTCAGCCTCCCTCAACTTGCCATGTAGCCTTCTCTAGAATGAGGCCACACTTTCAGGGTGCTACCGGGAAGGACAGTATGGTTTTAGCATTTGAGGACCCAGAAAGATATGCATGAGGATCTGATCTCTGGAGAGTATTGAAGGTAGAAAAGACAAGGAGAATATGCTGCAGAAACACCCAGAAGGAAAAGGAGAAAAAAAAGAAGCCTCAATGAATAAGCGAAATACCTTTCTAACCACTCCTGGGACCCTGAACTACAAGATTTGGTAGTTGACTCCTAAATCATAATATACTAATACTCAGATGACACTTGTAAGTTGTCACACGTATCTATGCATTCCATGCCTTTGGTAAATGCATACAGTTCATTCCATCAGCCCCACTCAGCTAATCCTCCTTTTCTCTTTATAAAGCCTGGTGTTTAAAGGATCTCTTCAGGTGTCATCAAGGAGTCATACCAGGTCCAGCTAACCCAACTTGCACATGTCCAGATTGAGGACAACAGGCAAACAAGCACACCCCTCTGGAACTGTGTCTGAACAGGATTTATGCCTTTTGGGGATGTGTCACCTCTCATGAAAATGTCTGCGAATGCACATTCTGGTCCAGTCCCGTCTTTTTTTTTTTTCAGACGGAGTTTCACTCTTGTTACCCAGGCTGCAGTGCAATAGCGTGATCTCGGCTCACCGCAACCTCCGCCTCCTGGGTTCAGGCAATTCTCCTGCCTCAGCCTCCTGAGTAGCTGGGATTACAGGCACGTGCCACCATGCCCAGCTAATTTTTTGTATTTTTAGTAGAGACGGGGTTTCACCATGTTGACCAGGATGGTCTTGATCTCTTGACCTCGTGATCCACCTGCCTCGCCCTCCCAAAGTGGAGGGATTACAGGCTTGAGCCACCGCGCCCAGTCAACATCTCCATTTTACAGGAATCACTTGAAACTGGGAGGTGAAGGTTGCAGTGAACTAAGATCGTGCCACTGCACTCCAGCCTGGGTGACAGAGTGAGACGCTCTCTCGAAAAAAAATTAAATTGAAAATAAAAATAAAATGGAGATGTCCACTGGTTGCAGTGGTTCAGGCCTGTAATCCCAGCAACTTTGGAGGACGAGGTGGGAGGATTGCCCAAAGCTAGGAGTTAGAGACCTGCCTGGACAACATCCTGAGACACTGCCTTAAAAAACGTCAAGAAACTTTTAAAAATGGGAATGTGTCTTACAGCGATAGCACATCGTGAACCAGTCAGTAGCACTCTTTTCTCCTTAGTGGGCATAAGTAATGGTGCATTTTGTATTCAATGCTATCTTAGATTGGATGAAATACATATTTTGAGCCGGGCGTTGTGTCTCACGCCTGTAATCCAAGCACTTTGGAGGCCAAGGTGGGTGGATCACCTGAGGTCGGGAGTTCAAGACCAGCTTGACCAACATGGTGAAACCCCATCTTAAAAAAAATAACAAACAAAAAAAAAATACACATTTTGAAATAAATGAATAAATGCATTCTTTCTTTTGGCACTATTTCTTCTGTTTTGGTCTTATTTGTAAACCAAGGAAATTATGATTTCTTTAATAACTGCCTAATATGTGCTGGGAGTTCCTTTGGGAACAGAGACAGCAGACTGACAGAAGTGAATGATGTAGTTCTTCCCCTCAAGGACAAGAAAACCAGCAATTACAGTGCGACATGCTAAGTGCTATAATAAAGGAATGCTTTTGGGGCAGAGCCCAGAGAAGGGACGTCAATCAGCCTGTGCAGATCCTGGAAAGCTTCCCAAGGGATGGGGTAACTGACCTGAGACTTATGACACAGCTGTGGGGCACTTTGTGCTGCTGTCACATATGTGGTTTCTTTTGATCTTCACACCACCTCTGAGATAGGAAAACTATCCTGTCTTAGAAATGAAAGACTGACGTTCAGAGCTGTTAAATAAATTGTCCCCAAACTTCCTAAATGGTAAGTGGCGGGGTGGGGGTAGCGGGGAGTTAAACTCAGGT